TCCTTCCTTCCTTCCTTTCTTTTCTCTCTCCCTCCCTCCCTCCAAAGGTGCTTTTTCCACAGGCAACTGGGCGTTCTGTTTTTTCTTCAAAGACCTTTGTTTTAGAGAGCCGTTGAGGCCACTTGGAATTTTGCCTGTGTCCTCGGGGTCACCTGAGTGATGCAAACAAGTTGCGGAGCCCACAACGCAGCTCCTTTCAGCAGTTCCAAGAAGAGTCCAAACCAATTTGCACCACTGAGGACACAACTAAACCCCCCAAGTGGCCTCAATGGCCCTCTAAAAAGGATGCAAATGACCAGCTGTCTGCAAAGAGGATAAATCCTTTTCCCACCATCCAGTCAGACCTGGAGAAGCTTCTCAGGTGAGAAGCAAAACATCTTCAAAAGAAAACCCAGAAAGTCCAGTTGCCTCCTGAAAAAGCACTTTTGGGACTTACCTGGCTGTGTTTCCCGTCTGGTCCACCTGGTAACAGCTAACCATGGTCTGTTGGACGTTGTCCCAAGAGGCGCTCTAACCGAGAACTCTGCCCCTTCCTTCCCTGTCCACGCAGCGCCACCGATGACTTCAACCACGGCGTGGTCCTCAGCAACCGCCCATTGCGGAACGGCGAGGTCTTCCAGGTGCGGATTGACAAGATGGTGGACAAGTGGGCTGGCTCCATCGAGATTGGCGTCACCACCCACAACCCCACCTACCTGCAGCTGCCATCCACGATGACCAACCTGCGGTCAGGTGAGAACTGCGACTGTAATCTCTCGGGATAGGGTCTTGGCCAGGCATGTCCAAAATTGCTCGGCCATTTTAAGACCTGAGATCTTCGCCTTCATACTCCCCCTCCACAGAGCAGCGTTTAGGGTTAGTTTCTGTAACCAGGCGCTGGACCCGGCTGTTCCTCCTCTTCCTCATCAGCCCCCTCCAGACCTGGGGGCTGTTGACTCTCCATCGGTGGGCTGACCGACGGCCCAGTTCCACCTTTCTCTGCCAGCTCCACTCCCTCTTTCCCCCCGGAGCTCCCATCCCGAGCACCAGCCCATAGATTTCCACCGCTCTCCTCTCCTCGGAGCTCCCCGGTTGCCCTGATGCTGACCTTGACTCCCACTCCGCCACCTCCCTCCTCTGATTCGGTTTTTGGAGGGACAGGCGGCCACAAAGGAAGAAACAACTGGGTAGTTCTTCTAAAAAGGAAAAAAGCCGTTCTCCCCCCTCACCTGACTGACGAAAGGGTGTGTGCGTGTCTTCGGTCCTTCCTCCTGCAGGCACCTGGATGATGACCGGGAACGGAGTGATGCACAATGGCACAACTATCCTGGACGAATATGGCCACAACCTGGATCGCTTGAAGGCAAGCCGGAGAAAGAAGGAGCAAAAAAGTTGACAGGGGAGAGGGAAAGTGGGGCTGCGAGGCGGCATCGAAGGCGGGATCATAGGACTGTCTTGCAATACGAGTCGTCCTTGACTTACGTCCTTCCGCTGAGTGACCAAAGTTACCACTGGAAAAGAAAGGGACTTTTAGGACCGGGTTTTTAACACTTAATGACCATTTGTCAATGGGATTAAGCCAGGTTCATTTAACGACCGTGTGACTCGCTTTTAATAATGGCAGTCGGTTCACTTTAACCACGGTGGGTAGAAAAGTCGTAAAACGGGGCATAACTCCCCGAAACAAATAATATCTCAGTAGAGCAACAAAAAATTAAAAAACGTTGAGCTCAGTTGGGGTCGTAGGTTGAGGAGCGCCCATACTCTGGCCCAGGCGCAAACTGCCAGCCTGGGAAACCGATTCCTGCGAAGGAGGCGTTAAGCAAAAAAAGTCGCCAATCGAACTCTTGAACACTGGAAGTTTTTAACACATGTTGGTTAGCCATTTGTCTGAAGTGGTAGAGGGTTTCCTGCCTAGGCAGGGGGTTGGACTAGAAGACCTCCAAGGTCCCTTCCAACTCTGTTATTCTGTTCTGTCCTGTTCTTATTTCTATTTGATACTTATTTCTATTCGACTCGATATGTATCCTTACATATTTCTATTCGATTCTTATGTCTGTTCTATTCTTTATTCTATTTTGTTCTATATTCTATTCTTATTTCTATTCAATTGTAATTTCTATTATATTTCTATTCTATCATTATTTTTATTATCTCCTTATTTCTATTCTGTTCTGTTCTATATTCTATTCTTATTTCTCTTCTATCCTTATTTCTATTTTTTTATCTTTATTTTTATTTGATTCTTATTTCTATTCTCTTCTATATTCTATCCTTACGTATTTCTATTCTATCCTTATTTCTATGCTATCCTTATTTCTATTCTTACTCCTCTTCTATCCTTATTTCTATTTTCTATCTTTATTTCTATTTGATTCTTGTTTCTCTTCTCTTCTATTTTCTATCCTTATGTATTTCTATTCTATTCTTATTTCTATTCTATCCTTATTTCTGTTCTTATTTCTATTCTATCCTTATTTCTATTCTATCCTTATTTCTATTCTATTCTTATTTCTATTCTATTGCAATTCTATTTCTATTCTATCCTTATTTCTATTCTATCCTTATTTATATTCTATTCTTGTTTCTATTCTATTCTTATTTCTGTTCTGTTCTACATTCTATTCTTATTTCTATTCTATATTCTGATCTTCGCCCGTGGATCTGCCCTCTGTGAGGCTGTTCCCCTCTCCTCCTTCTCCCCTCCCCAGGCAGGTGACACGGTGGGCGTCGTGCGGAAGGAGGACGGGACGCTGCATTTCTTCGTCAACGGGGTGGCCCAAGGCCCAGCCGCCTGGAATGTCCCACCGAATATCTATGCCGTGGCCGATCTCTATGGCCAAGCTGCTCAAGCCACGATCGTGGATGACACAGGTAGTGGACACAGGCCTACATGGGACAGGAAAGGGGTCGAGACAGAGACAAGGAATATGGCTTATTTTGAGGACAGGAAAGTTAAGAGTTGGTTTACAAGCCAGGAAGGAGAAATTTCCCGACAGTGAGAACAGTTAACCTGTAGAACAGCTTGCCACCAGAAGTTGTGGGTGCTCCATCAATGGAGGTTTTTAAGAAGAGACTGGACAGCCGTTTCTCTGGTCTTCCTGCTCAAGCTGGGGGGAGGGGTAGGACTAGATCAGGAGGCGCCAACCTTTTGGACCTCAGGGACCATCAAACTCATAATTTTAAATCCCGCGGACCGCTAATATGAATTTTGACTGACGGTGGCTTGCTGACGTTTTCCCAGGGTCCCTGCAGAAAGCAGCAGAGACCCTGGGAAAATCCCCCACCCCGTTTTCCGACCGATCGCTCGTTCTTTATTTGGGATGGCAGGATACCGTCTCCAGCTCCCTTCTCAGCGGGAGAGAGACAGAGAGGAGAGACTTTTGGCTGCATGCAAGGAAAGCAGCAGAAGCAGCAGAAGTCTTTCTTTCTC